CTGAAAGATTTGCACTTTCGAATATGAAAAGTCAACAGTGTGACATACGACAAAGTATTTAGAGGCATGTATGAGAATTTGAGTGAAACGATAGCAGATACGCCCTCGTCGGATCGATAATTAATGCACTCACTCTCGACCTCTTAATCAGACGTAATTAACTTTACAACTCAAACTGTACACTCGAACCTAGAGAACTCAGTAGATAATTTTTTTGTTGTGATTGATCAAAATTGATTTTGAGCAAAATTGATCAAAAGTTTTTAAAAGCAGTTTGATAGCAACAATCACTGATAAGTGATCATTCTTGATAACGATAACAACCACTGATATTTCATTTTGTTTGATCGGTTGAGTGATGAAGATTTCATACATTTTCAGTAACGTTTGCGACGAACGAAAAAACAAAATGAGAATACTGCGTGAAGAATAAATCTGCCGTGAAGAATAAATCGTAAGAATAATTTGCTGATGCACAAGTGAAGAGAATCAAATTAAATGCATCCGATTTATTAATCTATTGCGTCACTATCTTTTAACTGATGTGAGCCATGCATGAAATGTTTATGAAGAAACGTCATTCAAACACACTCAACAGCCATTCTGTTCGATTCAAGTTAGATATTTTTTGGGAAATCCTGTTCTATATAGCAATATGAATGAAATTTTTTCAGCAGCTTTTTGAAAATTTATGCAAAACGCTTGAATTGGTGATTAGAAAGTAGCTGATCCATTATCTGAAAAAAAAAGACGAAGCAAACTCTGAATTGACACCAAAAAGCAAAAAACGAACGAACCTGCATACAAGCTTTCGCACATTCGCGCACAACATTCGAGGCACGTGGTGGACTGGCCAATTCCAACACCTTCATCCGAAAGAACGTAATCGATGTAAGCAAATCAACCGTCGACTTCAAGTCGGCTAGTTTGTCGCGAGACGATGACGGAAAATATTTCTGAAAGGGAGAACATTCACAATGCATCACATCATTTATCTGTATTATCCTCACTTATGGAAC